CTACCTATCTATCGACCTACATATCTATCCATTTACTTATCAATCTATCTAGCTATCTATCTATCTTCTCTCTTCTTCCCTCGCTCTCTCTCTCTCTCTCTTTATCTATCTATCTATCTATCTACATATATATCCATTTACTTATCTCTTTATATCTCTATCTATCTATCTATATTCTCTTCTCTCGTCTCTCTCTCTCTCTCTCGTCTCTCGTCTCGTCTCTCTCTCTCTCTCTCTCTCTCTCTCCGTCTCTCTCATTCTCTCTCTTTCTCTCTCTCCCACTCTTTACATGCACGTAAGTTAAATCTCTCTCATTCGTTTTGATGTTCCTTATCAGTGGGAATGTCCTTTCCTTTTAACATTCAGGATTTGGACAGATGATTCTATATGACAATGACATGATGCAGCATTCAATAGAATTTATTTTTTCCCCTTCGTCAGCTATGAATATTTCGATGATCAAATCATTATAATTCCAATTTCCTGCAACCTTTTATGATCAATCAGCTGCCCCCCGTTTTACATTTTTTCTCTGGAACGCGTTTGATGAGACAGAAAACAAGAGAATAATTGTCGAACGAGGGAAAAAGGGGAATAAAACGGTGTACAAATGGAACAGAAACAGACACTTTTACTCTCTCCTAGATTAATCTAAAAGAGGCTCGCTCGCCCGAAATCCGGTGTAATTCTCTCGAAAAATGAAAAAAAAGTAGCGATCATAAATTCCGTGATATTAACCTCAGCGAAGGTTCATTTTTTCACAAGCACACAAATGCATACGTACACGAGTATGTATACGCACATGTGTATATATATGTGCGCGTGTGTGTGTGTGTCAGTGTGTGTGAGCGTGTTTGCATGTATGTGTGTTTGTGTTTGTGTGTGTGTGAGTGTGTGTGTGTGTTACTCATGTATGAGTAGTTAGGTAATTTCCATGGACGCTAGCTAGCTCCTGGTTGCACACTCTTTTTATAGTGAGTCGAGTACGAGTGGTTAGAATGACCGGGGCAGCGAGGGATCGAATCTCGCGATTGGAGAGGTTATATATATTATGATATAAATGCGGCCAGTGCATTATTCCTTATTCCATCTTTCAATAATATATATATATATATATATATATATATTATATATATATATATATATATATATAAGTATATTATATATACATATATATACTATATATATATATTATATATATATTATATTATATATATATATATATTAGTATTATATATATATATATATATATACATTAATGTCTATATATTTTCACAGTAGACGTTTCACAGGAGACACGTATTCTGATAATAAACAGGGGGACCAGGACAGCAGGAAACCACATCACTGATTAATTAAGCTTTCGGCCATGAACAACTGTGTCCATCACCAAAATCTGCATGCAAGAGAAATGCAATTTAAAACTATGTATACCGATATTGAATTTATAATTATATCGAAGATAAGATGAAAACAAAATAACAGTAACATAAAAGATATAAAACATGAATATGATACTAAGATAGTAAAAGGAAAAAGTTAATTTAGCTTATGTATTTTCTCCATCCAGACATTCTAGCTCTCGTAAAGTGTTGCAAGTCAGCATGACACTCACATACTCCCCATGACACCTATGGAGAAAATGCGTAAGCAAAATTCCCTTTTGTTATGTTCCACGTTCACCTAGAGAGCGCATACCTCAGCCAAGGCAATGGGGTTACTGATCCATTTAAGATATTTACACGAAGAATTACATCAAAATCATTTCAAAAGTACACTGATTACATCCGTGTTTACCTATCTCGGAATGCTAAAGACTTTAATGGCATCTAAATAAAAAATCTGTTCAAAGGAATGCTAAAGACTTTAATGGCATCTAAATAAAAATCTGTTCAAAACTTTTTTGATTTATACTGCTAACCCTCCTGGTCCTGGGTCACCACCAAAATCTGATGGCATCTAAAACACACCTCTGGTAAAACACTAATAAAAATCAGCTTCTAACTTTTGAGTTATCCTGCTAACCATCTGACCAGCAAACTAAGCAACACTGCCAAATACATAATAATAAAAATGAAAATAATAACAATAATTATGATAATAATAGTAATAATGATAATGCTGATGATAAATTATATGATAATATGTTAATAACAAT